TTGTTAAGGCTCTGGTTTTGGTATTAAGTTTCAGCAATCCCTTAGTCTCTCTGATTGACCTTGGGTGGAGGACAGGATGGCTAAGATGAGCTCCTTGGTCTGAAGTCAGACGCAGGTTTGCATCCCAACTCATCCACTTACTGGCCCTACGATCTTAACCTCAGTTTTCCTCATCTATCAGATGAAGTTAGTGTTATCAATGTACACATACAATGGAATGCTATTCAGCCACCCCCCGAAAAAAGTATTGACCTGCTACAATGGCAATGAATCCCGAAAACATGCCAAATGAAAGAAGCCAGACAAAAGTTACGTATTGTTTGATTCCAATTATATACGCCAAACTGGTAAATCCCATGAGAGAGAACACATTGGTGGTGACAAGGGGCAGTGTGGAGAGAGGGCTGAGGAGCTTATGGTACAGAATCACCTTTCAGGTGATGAAATGACTTGGAACTCAATAGAGGGGGTTGCACATTGTACTAAATGCCACTGAATCTTTTGCTTTATAATCATTATTAGTGTAATATGAATCTCACCTCAATAAAAAATATTAACGTTGTCAACCCCAGAGGATTACGGGAGGATTGTGTGCGTTGGTCCTTACAAGGTGCTTATTAGCACAGTGCCCAGGTAATGTACTTTCAGTCTTTTGCAGCTGTGATGATTCATTATAGGGGATGAGTCATTGTGTCCTCTATTAAGGCAGTTGCTTGAACAGTTGATTATTGTATGTTGATTCTCTGAGCTTCAATTTTAGAGGCTAATGTTTTCTGTCCTCATCCCCAAACTGTGAGGGGAGATGGTGACATCTGTGCCTTTACTGCCCTGAGTTCTCCCTAAAAAATTTCACTTCTGTAAAATAATTGGTTCAAATGTAACGCTTGGTAGGGATTAAACCTACATGAATGGGACACAGTTTCAGGCAGGCTTATCAGGCTGCTGTTGATTAGATTTCCCCGTGATTTTGAGCCTAGTATAGAAGTGTGAAAATTCCTTGTTACTTACTGATTAGTTTTTATTTTTGTCATAATTATTTTGACAAAATAATTCCTAATTATTTTGCCTTTATTGTTAAAGCATTTTCATTCTTTTTTAAAAAATGCTATAATTTACTTGAATGTGGTTTTTAACTTTTCCCTCGTGGGGGAAGTTTTCCCTCGTGGGGGAAGTACTTAGAGTAAAAAGAAATGAAATGCCTCTCCCTACCACCCACCTACCATTTATGATTTTACCAACCAAATTGAATTTGTAGAAATCTGATTACAGACTCAAGTAATTATCCCATGAATGGTAACTTATTTAAAACTCTGATGCCCATTTCTAAAATTGAGAGAGATTTAACCCCATCAATTTAGCTTAAATCTTTGCTTTTTATATATACACGCTGAAAACATTTTAAGTCTTGTTACCATTTTGTGAAATATAGGGATGCCTCACTTAAAAATACATGATATGAAAAAACACATTTGTGAAATGGTTAAACTAAGAGGTAGTATTTTTTTTTTATTTCAAAGCAATACAGTCTAAGTTCTTTTAAGTGGAAAGCTTTAAGCATTTACATTTTTTGGAATGTTTACATATTCTGAAACAATATTGCAAAGGTAGATCTTCTTCCTAATGTAAATGTACATTCTGACAGAGTAGACACAGCGGCATCGGGGAAACTTGGTCCAAACTCTAAGTCTAGCCTAGGAACAGTGGCCACCTTGGAAACATTGGCCTAGTCACTCGAGTCTCGGTTTCCTCAGCTGTGAAGTGAGGATGACTAATGCCTCCTGAGTTTGTTTTGCAGACTAATTGAGATGACATATGAAAGGATCCAGTACATGGTAGGTATACCTTTTTCCCTTTCAGATAAACCAAAAGTGTAAGCATTACCATAACCATTTCTCTAGTGTATGCCCTGGTAGGTAACACAATGGAGAAGGAGGTGATAGAAAAATAGTTTGAGGTAAAGTGAAGACAGCTCTGAAGATGGGGGAAGGTGAGGTAGCAAGCACTTCCTGAATTAAGGGACCTAGATATGGCCTCTGTGGGCTTTTTAAAGTGATGCTGATTTGGGTTTTCTTGGTTATAGTAGTAATTTATGCACGCTGGAGAGGCTTTGGAAAAATACCTTTGTGTGGGTCATCAAATCAGTAACACTGAGACAAACTCTGACCTCTCTGTGAAAAGGAGCCGAGTGGTCTGTCATTCCCATACCTGGGGTCCTCAAACTACGGCCTGCGGGCCACATGCAAATACAAATATTGTATTTGTTCCCGTTTTGTTTTTTTACTTCAAAATAAGATATGTGCAGTGTGCATAGGAATTTGTTCATAGTTTTTTTTTAAACTATAGTCCGGCCCTCCAACGGTCTGAGGGACAGTGAACTGGCCCCGTTTAAAAAGTTTGAGGACCCCTGCATAAGCATTGAGGGAAGACCATGTGTGCGTGGCTCAGTGCTAAGTGCTGAGATGAAGTGCGTCTGGGGAGGTGGCAGGGAGAACTCTGAGACTTCATCTGGGAAGCAGAGCTGGTACCAACGCTGAGTCTCCTCGTCCTTCTCAAGACATGATAAAGAAACAATCAGATTCTCAGTTTATCATTCTAAGAACAGAGCAACATTGCCATCTATTGGTGTTATGAGATGCTTAATTTCCTTTATTGGGATAAACACTGGAGGGTGGTATTGTGACATTACATTACCTGTAGGAACTTTATAGCCTGCTGAAGAGAAGAAATAACAGGCCGACTACTGCCAGTCACCTCCAGGTGGGAGCGCAGCCTCTAAAGTAGAGAATGGGGACTGTGGCAGCTTTGAAAAGGGATGTAGCACTAAGACAGTAGCATGAATTGGCATTCCTAATATTGATCTTATCTGAATTGCTTTTTATGACATATTACTTACTTCCTCTCCGAATTTGAATGTTGATGAAAGCAAAACGCTTATTTTTGCTTTTATCTTTGCTAATGCAAAAATTACTGGCCCAGTTGCTGCACATCCTGGGTACCAGGTCACCAGGTAGCCCAGGAGTTAAGTGCATGGACTCTGCAGTCAAACGTCTTTCAACCCTGGTTTTGCCACTGTTTCCTCAGTTTCCCTTTTCATCTGTAAAATGATGCCAGCATAATGTTAGTGCCTACTTCACAGGTGTCTTAAGTGAAAGGGAAGAATAAGTGTTTATTCTGGTGTGGAGACCTTTATGAATACTTGTTAACTGCAGCTGCCATGATTACCAATAATCAGGTAAAGAATGGGACGAGAGAAGGGGAATACTAAGCATGTTAAGATCAAGGGCAAATTGGAATACTATTCCCCAAACTCAACACATTTTTATATTTACCCACTGAGATCTTGACAAATTCTTGAACACCACAGAATAGCAGTCAGAATAGCTGTTCTGTTTAAAGTGGTATCATGTTCGCCAGCCGGCTTGGCTCAGTGGTTGAGTGTCCACCTTTGAACCAGGAGGTCGCAGATAATCAATTGATGTTTCTATCTATCTCTCCCTTCTCTCTGAAATCAATAAAAATACATATTTTTTAAAAATAAAATGGTGTCGTGTGCTGGGTGGGAAGTTTTGTTTTTCTCTAAAATACCAGAACTTATCGCTTTCCAGCCTTTTGGCTAAGATCAAGTGTAGTAAAGTACCAGCACTTACAAGTACAAACATTGGTGTGCCTGTGTTTTTTCCCACTGAAGTTGCCACTGCTGAAACGTTGACCAGACACCTCTTTGGAAGCAGGCTTTAAGGATCTGTAGCAAGTTTCCTGAATATCTATATTACTAAGTAATTATTGGTACTGTGATGGTGGGTACATTGAAGATGGGTTGGTGCTTTGAAGTTGAGTACCTTGAGGATGGGTTTGGTTTTCAGAAGTGAAACATCACTTGGTGCCCAGGCTGGAGAAGATGATGTGGTGGAGTCGATCACATTTGGCCAAAAACAAAGTGATTTCTGGCAGCAGGTTCCAAAGAGGAATTCTGAAATGTTTTGCTGATTGGCTATGTAAAGTGTCGTGATTATTTGGGTATACAAATTCTAACAAGCTTGTTAAAATCACCTCGTTTCTTTTTAGTTGCTTATCCCAGCTTTCCCCTTTCTTCTCCTGAGTATTAGAAAAACAAGACATCCCTTCACTGAGTCCTTTCTGAAGTGGCAGTTAAAGTGGGAAGAGAAGGTGCTGTATATAGTAAACCCGGCCGCTGACCTCCTGTCAGGTCAGGCAAAATGAGAAGGAAACCGACTGGTGTTCGGCTTCTGAGGAATTGCCAATCCAGTTTGTGCGTATGGATTGGAAAGGCTAATTCAGGGGTGCCCATTGCCTAACTTAGATTCTGAGACCTTTTCTTTCTTTTCCTTTTTCCCCTATTGTTGACCATCAAGAGGTTACACTGTGCGTTTCAAAGAGAAACATTGAGGTGAAAATACTCATTATTTCATAAATTGTAGATGTCTTGCTCACCTTCTTACAAATGCCCCCACCTTCTGGATTCACATGGAAAGGTGAATTTATTCAGCTCTAATTAATTTCTAGGAAGAGTTTTCATTGTTCTGGGAATAAAATATGCTGCCACTTTATGCTTTAACATGAATTCTCAGTTTGAAAACAAATTCTATGAAAAGAATTTTGAAAACCCAGGGCAATTTTAATTAATTTTGTAAATTCTTATACTGCAGTAAACTGAAGTATGCTTAAAGGGAAGCCCTATCCCCCCCCTTTTTTTTTTAATTAACCACAGGTTACTGTATTTAGAAAGTTCTATGATCTATTAAAAGTAGTCACCCCCGCCAAAACTGGTTTGGCTCAGTGGATAGAGCGTCAGCCTGCGGACTGAAAGGTCCCAGGTTCGATTCCGGTCAAGGGCATGTACCTGGGTTGCGGGCACATCCCCAGTAGGAGATGTGCAGGAGGCAGCTGATCGATGTTTCTCTCTCATCGATGTTTCTAACTCTATATCTCTCTCCCTTCCTCTCTGTAAAAAATCAATAAAATATATTAAAAAAAAAAGTAGTCACCCCCAAATATCCTGTCCCTTCTGCTTTTACACGGCGCACTCAGCACAAACCACTCCCCGGAGGAGGACTCGGCTCTTGATGCGGGTGGTCGATCACGTAGAAGCCATGCTCCTCTACCGCCCGGTACAGCGTGATGTACTTGGAAGCCTTCCTGGTCCTGGGGACCACAAACTTCTCGGTGAACTCGTTCTTGTCCAGTTGCTCCTTGCCTTCTGTGGCCAGAACGCAGTTAATGAATGTGAGGGTGTAACTGTAGCAGTTGTGGTGTTCTTCTTCGTACCTTCAAAACAAGGACGTGGAGAAGAGAAGGCTTAGCTTTGAAAGCTGCTCAGGGCCTTCCATAACTGAAATTGGGCTCATTCAGTGAGCCGGGCCCCGTCCTGGGCAGGGACGCTTGGCCTCTTGGGCTAGTGCAGATTGCAGCTTAAGTACAGAAGAGACTTAACTGCATGTTCAGAGTGGTGAGTGAAGGTGCACATAAACCCCACCTTGAGGAACTTAATTTCACTGAAATTCTAGATTCTAGAAGCAGAATTTCATTTCTTAAGTTTTAGGATAGCCTACATTTCAAGGGTAGCCTGAAAACAATTTAAATGGACAAGTATGCTATACATCTAAAGTGTTAAGGGAGCAAGGAATTGAGAAATTTCAAAATTGCTAAGACCAAAAAATAAAACCTTAACATATTTATAAATTTTGAATATCATTTAAATTTTTTGTTTTATGGAACATATCACAGCTTTTGCTGTACATATTACTATTGAGTGTTAAGTATGTAAATATACCTATTCAAATAATGAGAGTTCTAAGTTCTCGTCCTTTCAACTCTTAAAGTGCTCTGATTCTATTATGTAATACTACTAAAGGTTCAGTGCATGAAAATGTGTGCACTTGGGGGGGTCCCTCAGCCTGGCCTGCGCCCTCTCGCAGTCCAGGAGCCTCCTGCCACCACCACTGCACTTGCAGCTGTCAGCAGGGTTTGTGGCTGAGCGGAGCTCCCCCTGTGGGACCGCACTGACCACCAGGGGGCAGCTCCTGCATTGAGCATCTGCTCCCTGTTGGTCAGTGCACATCATAGTGACCAGTCAGACAGTAGGACACTTAGCATATTAGCCTTTTATATAGATAGACTAGAGGCCCAGTACATGAATTTGTGCATGGGTGGGGTCCCTCGGCCTGGCTGACAATTGAAGTCCTGGGGGGGGGGCCCGGCGGGCCGGGGTCAGTGCATGGTATAGCTGGTTGTTCCTGGTTGTTCAGCATTAGGGTCAATTTGCATATTTCCCTTTTATTATATGTAATATACACTGGATTAAGAAACCCCTGCTTAAATTCTGTTACAGGTGCTACTACTAAACGCTGCTCAGCGTCTTCTGTGAGTTGATCACATTTGTGTGGCAAATGTGGGCCAGGGAGCAGTTGGTCTCAGCAGCCCCATACCTGTGAGGCAGCCAGGCCTCCGTGGTGGAGAAGTCTTCCAGGTACTTGTCCCACTGGTCCATCAGTCCAAACATGCCGGGCTGCAATAATGGGACACTTACACTCTGCTCCCAGCCTGCTTCATCTCGCTGGACACCGTGCATAGTATAATTATAGACGACTCCTGCAACCAAAGCCAGGGTCATGCAGAAGCTTGAGGGACGTGCACCGCTGTGAAAGGGTGCTGTCAGAAAATGACACCAGCCCCACAGTAACCTGACGTTATCGGAGGCCCAGAATGCACTTTCTGATTCCTGCCAATTAGCAATGGGCCCTGAAAGGCCTTGGGACCTCCTTGCTCCAGGATCATCGAGCTCAGGAGGCAGCCACTCGCCTCGGAGATTTAGAGAAGGTCTTGCCTGGAGTTAAGGAGAGGCTACGGTGCCCCTGCCTCCCCTGCTTTCTGCAAAGCAGTTCCTACAGGGAAACCCAGTTCTTGCTCCACCTGCTCTTCAGCCCTCTGGAGTCACCCCCAGGAAACAGACAATCATAGGCACCCGGATAATCATCTCCAGATATTTTTGTTGAAGTTCTCTGTTTACAAACGGGCCTGGCTTTCCTTCAATCAGCAATAAATTTCTAGTGGTCAGACTGGTGATAAAGTTTACTGTTCACATGAGTAACTCTGAGTTCAAAAACACAGTCCTAGGCTTCTGTTCACAGAATCAGTTTCTCCTGCCTCAAGGAGGTGGACAATGGCTCACCTGGCTGGCTTGCTCTCCATTCGCAGGCCTGCAACTCCTACAAGTGGCTCACCAGGCCCTTTTCCTGCAGACAAGGATGTCCTGGGTTCAGGGATTGCAGATTCTGTGCCTTCAGAGCTAAATCTGGCCAAAAGGACTATTTTATTTAAACATGCTGCTGCTGTTTTTTTGTTTTTGTTTTTTACAGAAAACTGCTGCAGGCTCCCCCACCTGCTCAGGTGTTCTATCCCCTGACTTATCCAGAGGTTTCTGCCTAATTCCTGGAGACCCTGGAGTGTGAAGACCCAGTAGCAGTGGGCTGAGTGAGTACAGGATTGGAGAGCAGAGGGCCTGGGTCCAGATTCTGGTTCCCACACCCGATGAGGTCTTGGGCAACTCAGTCTCTCCAGAATTCTGTGTTTGCCTCATTTAAACACCAAGAAAAACTAAAAGGTTTCTGTCACTCTTGGCTGAGAAAACATTAATAACCTTTTTTCAAATATTTAGTATGGTTAGTAATACTTTGCTGTACAGTCAAGTATTTCTCATTTGGGGGGATAGTAGCATCACTCACCTCATGGTCCAGCAAGAGAACCCAGGGACCAGAGGAATTCCTAGTTAAATGTTACACATCACTTTTCTTTAGAAATGCCACTCTCGTCTGGATACTTTGGGGACTTTTTAAGCTTAAAAAAATATGAACATGCACTCACCATTTGTGTTAGTTATTCCAACATGAAGATCAGACCTTCCATCATAGTCTCTGAAAGAAACACATATTTTTTCCGCATTTGCAGATGTCTGGCTCAAAGAGTTGGTACTTAGAGTGGGGGAGTGATGGGCCTCCTTGCATGTCTGGTGCCAGATTGCCAACAGTGTCCAGGTTAGTGAAAGCCCTGTTTCAAAGCTGGTTAGGCCAATTCTACATTTGAGATCTAAAATTTCCCCCTGTCCCCATCTATTTTGTTGCCCCTCCCCCAGTGCTAAAGGTGAGTGTGCGAGAAGGCCGGTCCTGCTAGACCAAAAAGTCAGCATAACACCTGGCAGAGGAGCCCACCCAGAGGTGAGTTGTTGAAGGACCACCTTATTCTCTCCTCCTTTTCTGTGAGGTGACAGCCTGTTCCTCAGGCAAACATGGGTGAGAGGTTCCTGATGCCTCAGTGGATTCTGCCTCCCAAACTGATATGGCCCATTTTGGTCTTGTAGCTTGTGGCCACACCCACTTCTCTTGGACAGCCCTTGTTTCCAGGAATTATTATTTACCTGAGACTGGACATTAGATGTCTAAGTCCGTATCATTTAACCTTCGTATGCAGTCCCAGGTCATCACTTATAGCCCTGGGACATTGGGCAAGTCATTGACTCTCTCTAATCCGTTTCCTCAACTATAAACTGGGACTATCATAAGCCTCCTAGTGAGCTGATTGTAAGAATAGAATATCTATTGAGTGCCTGCCGCATGGCGGTTATTTTTAAATGATAAAGCTCCTTTGTCGGACCATAGGTCTGGATATTTGGTTCCTCATTAAAGCAAGCAGTTGCAGGTTTTAAAATGACCAAGGACACACATGACTGCCCCATCTCTTTAAAGCAATCTCCTCCAGGTCATCTTGGAGCCACTTTGAGTTTTTTTGAGACCCTGGGGCTTCCGGAGGTTGAAAATGACGCATGGCTCGGTGGTTGAGCGTTTACCTATGAACCAGGAGGTCACGGTTCAAATCCTGGTCAGGCACATGCCCTGGTTGCAGGCTCAATCCCCAGTGTAGGATGTGTAGGAGGCAGCCAATCAATGATTCTTTCTCATCACTGATGTTTCTATCTCTCCCTCTCCCTTCCTCTCTGAAATCAATAAAAATATTTTTTAAATGAAATGAAATGAAAATGAAGCGGAGAAAAACAGGAATAGTCTTAGGTGGCTGATGACAGCACAACACCCACCGAATTTTCTACCCCAAGCTCATACCCTGAGCACATCACTGCCCTTGGTTTCCTGCCTAAGTCCTAGCATGTCCTCCCTCGTTCCCTTCTTTCCTTCAGTTATTTCTTACAACACATGTTTATTGGGTGTCAACTATGAGCCTGTCAGTCAGGTATTTGTCATATTTTGAAGTGAAGGGCTAGTGACATACGGTAGTTAGCAGGGAAGTGAATAGTCAACTCTGATGTTCTCATCCCAAGAACTCCTGAGGGCATGAGAGAGTTGGGAGCATTAGATCGGGATGATGCCCATGGACACGCTTCCCAAAGCATGTGCCATCATTCAGTAGCATCCCTGCTCTCTTGCAGCCAGGCTTGTCCATTTGTAAACTCCACAAGGACTCTCAGGAGGCACAATCCTTTCTTTTGATTTCTGAAATCTGAAAGTCAGGTGGTGTCTGCAATAGAAATAAACCAGCTCCACTCTTCACTTTAATTCACCTCCATGCAAAAGAGTCTTCAGGCTCCGTGCATTGACCCTGCATGTTAGAGAGATTACAAACTATCTCACAATAAAGGTATTTTGGTAAGCTTGGCTGCTGGGTCATTTTTTTCAAATTAGCCTCTTAGCTCAAAATCTATGGTGAAGTAAGTCTCCAGACTGGATTTTTCTCTCTTAAAATTGTATAAGTAGGTTTGACCTTCATATATTCTTGCACTTATCGCTCCAGGAAAGTATGCACACCGTCTATTTCTATAAAACAAATAGGCCTACATTTTAGAATTAAATGCCAAAAAAAACTGGAAAGGATTATCCACCACACTTCACTCACACTGTAAAAGAAGGCTTTAGTGACTACAACACAGAAGGAAAGTTTGCACAATTCAATGTAACACTTAAAAAACACTGACGTTACCTAAGAAACGTCCCGTGAGTTGGCCTGAGGAGGAATGAACACTTTTCTTGATGCCCATTGACAAACGGATTGGAGATGCTAACAGGTGCTTCCTCCAGCTTCCTGGAGCCCACATCCCGCCGGCAGAGGGGGCAGCACCGCGGCACACTGAAGCTGTAGATGTGTTTTCTGCAATGGTTGAACTTAATTAAAGGCTTTCCGACCGCTGCGCACTGCATGGCTCTCCCGTCCTGGGCAGCCAGGGGCGGTGTCCCCACACTTCCTTTTCCTGATGGCACAGGTAGCGAATTCCCGCAGCGCGAGGAACCTGATCAGCAATGACGTCATTCTGATTGACGGCCTCAGAGCCAAACCGGGTAGAATTAACCAGGACAGTAACCAGGCCGCCCCTAAAACTAGCGTCCTAAAGAGCCTTCATTTTCCTTTCCATTTGTGCTTGCTTACCAGACCGTTTTTCCAGTCTTTATACCTTTTGCAATTGTTGGCAGCCAGCTCCCACTCATCCAGTAAAGCCCTAGGTTTCTGTAGAACTTGCTCGTTTCCTCCGGCGTTCCCGTGCCCTGCGGCGCTGGATTCATGTTTCCACCTGAGCACTGTCCTTTAATTAGTCATAAGTCTGTGCGCCTCTCGGAATTAGGCATCCTCACTTGTTTTTGTGTTTCTAGCAAAGTTTATATCGTTTTGGTTTTGAATAAGTAACCTTACTTTGAGGTTACTCTCTTTTGATGCTTTATATTGTAGAAGTAATCTTGCTCATAAAAAAATTAACAGCACAGTAAAAATAAAGATAGAGGTTACCCTAGTTAACCAAACTAAAAGGATAACAGGCAATTCCACAGTGGGATTACACTAGAAATAAAAAGAAATCAATAAGAAAAGGCTAACTAGAAAATTCCCAGTAGTTTAGAAATTAAGCAGCATACTGCTAAATAACTTATGGGTCAAAGAATAAATAACAATGGAAATTAGAAAATATTTCTAATCTTATCGTAATGACATTAAAACTTGTGAAATACAACTAAAAGGGGCTGAGAGGGAAAATTATAGCTTTAAATACTTAAAGAAGAAGCAGCTAGAAAACAAGAACAATTTGAACTTAAAAATAGAGAAAAGGAAAGATAATAAAGATTAGAACAGAAATCTGAAGTAAAAATCACACGTACAATACAGAAAATGAACAAAGCTAAAGTAAACTGCAGGATGAGATGGCTCCCATGGTAAATTATTCTGAACATTTAAGAAAAAAATGAATACCTACATTACACAGACATTTTCAGAGAATTGAAAAGAAGGAAGACTTCCAAACTCATGCATAGCTCAGACACTAAAACTTGACATGGACATTCTGAGGAAGGAACACTACAGACCACTACCTCTCATGAACAAGGATAAAGAAATGCTAAACACAATATTAACCAAGAGAATCGAATGATTTATCGAAAGAATAATGTAACAGAATAAAGAATAAAACAATATGGCTTTCTCGATAGATGGGAAAGGATTTGATTTTTTAAAAAAGACATGTTCGTGATAAAAACTCTAAGAAAATTTGAAAGAAAAAGAAACTTCTTTAATTTGATAATGAATAGCTTCAAAAACCCTAGAGCTAAGATTTTAATTAATGGTGAAATACTAAATAATTTCCCTGAATTCAGGAACAAGACAAGGTTGTCCACTGTTACCACTTTTATGTAAGGTTACACTGAGGGTTCTCAGCACTAAGTCAAGAAAAAGAAGTAAAGGATAGCTCAGTTGGTTCAAGCATTGTCCTGATACACCACAGTTGTGGGTTTAATCCTGATCAGGGCACAAAAGAATCAGCCAATGGATACATAAATAAGTGGAACAACAACTCTCTCTCTCTCGCCCCTCTCTTTTCAAGATCAGTAAATTAAAAATATATATATATAAATATAGCATGGAACAAGCAACAGTTAGGACATTTTTAAAAATATCATTTAAAATAACATCCAAAAACCCATCTAGATACCTAGGAATGCATCTAATAAAAGTTGTCCAAGACCTATACACTGAAAATGATAAATTTCCCAATGTAGTTCCTAAATTTCTGAGAGAAATTTCAAAAGTTCTAATTGGAAGTATATACTATGCTCATTCATTGGAAGACAATATTTTTACAAAAGCAAAGTAAAAGAACTACATACAGTTATATGTTGTTCTTATAGTATGTATAGATCAACACTGACAGCTATATGTTGTTCTTACAATACATATAGGTCTCACCGGTATAATGTTGGTCAAAAGAAGACAAAGAGTACATACTGAATTATTTCATTTATATCAAGGTCAAGAACAATCGAATTTGTGATGACTGAGGTGAGAATTACATTTATCTTTGGGAGCTATTGATTGGGAAGGGGCATAAGGAAGCCGGGTGTTGATAATGTTCTTTTATCTGGGTGGTGGTTTCATCAGTGTATTCATATGTAAAATTCATGGGGAGTATGTATTTTGTCTGTTATATTTCTTTCTTTTTTTAAATATATTTTATTGATTTTTTACAGAGAAGAAGGGAGAGGGATAGAGAGTTAGAAACATCAATGAGAGAGAAACATCGATCAGCTGTCTCCTGCACACCCCCCACTGGGGATGTGCCCGCAACCAAGGTACATGCCCTTGACCGGAATCGAACCGGGACCCTTTAGTCCGCAGGCCAACGCTCTATCCACTGAGCCAAACCGGTCAGGGCATTGTCTGTTATATTTCAATGTTTAAAAATCTTTTAAAGAATTTTTTAAAAGGCAATAGGAAATCATTGAAATGAATAAAAGAGTTTAATGACATGATCCGATTTACTTTTTTTAAAAAAAAGAAAGGTTTTATGTAACAGACTAGAAGAGGGCAGGCGCAGAAGCCAGAAGAGCAGTTAAGAGGCCATTGCATGGGCCCAGGCGAGGAGTGAGAGTTGCTCAGACTAGAACCATAAAAGTAGAAATGGAGACAAGAGGATTCATTGGAGAACAGGATCTGCAGGATATAGAGAACCAGAGGGACATATCAAGAATTATCTTTCTGGCCCTGATCGGTTTGGCTCAGTGGATAGAGCATCAGCCTGCAGACTGAGGGGTCCCAGGTTTGATTCCAGTCAAGGGCACATACCCAGTAGGGGGTGTGCTGGAGGCAGCTGATCAATGTTTTTCTCTCATCGATGTTTCTGTCTCTTTATCCCTCTCCTTTCCTCTCTGTAAAAAATCAATAAAGTATATTAAAAAAAAAATGATCTTTCTGGGTTTCCACCATAGGAAATGGAAGACAAATAGCAGAGGAATGCCTGGAAAGAACATGACTAAAGTTTGGGATGCGAGTAGAGATTTTTAAAGGAGCACTTGGGCGAGGTCTAAGGGACTCCTTACTTGGAAGGCGCGGTCTGGCGGGAACAGTTGAGGCAGAACCTGAGAACAGGGTCCGGGAGTGTAAACTGACATGTAGGTCGGGGTGTCTGGGATTAAGATGCGCAGAGGAGAGGCGGGAGCTTAGCCTCCAGCGGGGCGAGGTGATTCTAGAGACGCGAGAGTCGCTAAGGAATGCGCTTGGAGATGGGGCAGCCCCGTAGGAACTAACAGCACGCGGGATAGGACTCGCCATGGCCCGCCCAGGAGACTTGGAAATGGCGGGACGAGGAACGCGGGACTGAGAATCGGCCCCGCCTCCACCCAGAGGCGGAACCAATTGTGACGGAGGCGAGGTTTCCGGCCGGCACTATAAAGGTACACACGGGCGGAGGGGGGCGGCGTGCG